ACACTGGACAAGGAGACAGGTAGTTCAAGGCCTGTTGGCTGACAGGCAGAGAAGGCTGTTGCTTTTCTTATGTATGGGGGGCAGAGTATAGAATCACAGAATCATTTACATTGGAAAAGATCTTTAAGATCATCAAGTCCAACCATTAACCTAGCAAGTCCACCACTAAACCACGTCCCTAAGCTCCACGTCTACATGTTTGTTAAATGCCTCCAGGGATTGTGACTCGACCACTTCCCTGGGCAGCCTGTCCCAGTGCTTGATAACCCCTTGAGTGAATAAATTTTTCCTAATATCCTGGCACAACTTGAGGCCATTTCCTCTTGTCCCATCAATTGTTACTTAGGAGAAGACCCCAGCACCCACCTGGCTACAACCTCCTTTCAGGTAGTTGTAGACAGCAATAAGGTCTCCCCTCAGCCTCCTTTTCTCCAGGCTAAACAATCTCAGTTCCCTCAGCCGCTCCTCATAAGACTTGTGCTTCAGACCCTTCGCCAGCTTCACTGCCCTTCTTTGGATACACTCTGGCACCTCAGTGTCTGTCTTGTAATGAAGGGCCCAAAACTGAACACAGTATTTGAGGTACAGCCTCACCAGTGCTGAGTACAGGGGGACAATCACTTCCCTAGTCCTGCTGGCCACACTATTTCTGATACCAGCCAGTAGCTGGCATGAATCCTGTGCATTAAAAGCCATGGGGCCCCCTGCTTAGTTAGCTGCCCTCACAGTCAGCTACTGCCACTTTTGGCTCTGCCTGCCCCACCTTCACCACTTGGCAGCCTCAGGAAGGCTATGGCCTTCAAGGATGCAAGAGCTATGCCTCTGTCACAAGCCAGTCAGTGCAAATGAGACTGCAAAGTGAGTTGCAAACTTCATTTCTCTTCAATGCCAGTTTCATTGCCAACGTTTTCCCCTTGCAGATTCCCCCATCCAAATATTAGCACAGACTCTAGCGTTATCCGACTATTCAATTCTGAGCCTCTGTACCCTAAAGCTGCCCAGTACTGTTGGGGCAGCGTGACAGCCCTGCAGCGTACCAATAGCATCTCCCATCTCCGCTTCCAAAGGGGATGCTAACAAACAGCATCAGTGCTGCAAAGCTCCTTCCTCTAGGGTCACTGAGCAACTGCCTCCTGGATTTAGACCTGGAGTTTAACAAGGGTGTCAAGGAGAGGAAACGCAGATGAGGAACAAGAATGAGCAAACTCCTTAGAGTGTGATAAAGGGCCCATTCATAAAAAGTTATACACCATTTAAAGGCTGGGTTTTCACACACTTCTCTGGGAAAATATGCAGCGCACATGTATTTTTTTTTCCCCGCAAGAAACCCATGCTTTCACAATTCACACTAATCCCCCTCCCCGCCCCCTGCTGAATTGCTGTCTGTCTGCCTCTTCCGAGCTAATTTCATGGGCTCAGCCCCTTGCGGGAGCCGTGGCCACTCATGCAGCATCTCTTTCCAGATGGAAACACTCACGAGTCCACCTGCATTAGGGGGATGCGGAGGTGCTTGGCTTCTGAAATACCTTTAAATTACTCGGCAGAAAAAAAATAAATAATGAGGAGCTAAGTTGCAGCTGCTGGAGCAATGTTACCTGATGCATGTGCAGCAGAAAACAGCAATAACTGCTGCCAACCTCAAAACAGGCAGGAAACAGTAAAACCGGCTGCCAACTCTGCCCTGAAAGGCAGGCCCACAGAAACCTCTAGAAAGCAGCACAGCGCCAGCCTCAGTGCTACACCTGGTACTGGGGCTGGGATGTCCAGTGGGGCTAAGGCAAGCACCCAGACCTCCCCAAGCCCACTGACCCCACGCTGACTAGCTGCAGCACAGAGCACAGCACCTCTAATGCAGCTGGTGATCCTACACAACTGGATTTCTTCTTTCCTGTCAGGCAGAAAGTGTTGTTTGCAGTGAAGCACTTCACACGTTGGGACACTGAGGTTAGGAGATGAGGTCAGGATCAGAGCCAGTGGCAAAGCAGGCGGCAGCTCCTGACTGCCACAGAACATTTGCGGTTACGAACAGGAAAGGAGGAACAGGGAGGACATAGAGGAACTGTGCTTCCTTGAGATCTTTGGGAGCTGGAGCAGAGTAGAGCCCTTGCACAGTCTGATATCCTAGGCATGGTCTAGCAAGTTCCCTGCTAGAAATAGAAAGGCCCAAAGTACAGATTACTGTGTACTTGTAGATACAAATATTTGAGAAATAATGGCAGGAGCTTGGAGCAGGAGCTGTATGGCTGCCTCGTTCTGACTGCCTGACAGTTCTACCCAGGTTTTAGGAAAAACCAATAAAAAAACTCCAGGGACCACATTTTTAATCCCAGCCATGCCCCTGACTCAATTCCCTCTCTGCCTCAGTTCTCAAGCTGAAAAAGGAAGGAATAAAAGTCTTTGCTACCAAAGGACATGGAGCATGGAGCATTTGGTGTGAATACCACACACCAATATCTCTGGATGGAGACATTAATGGATGGCCAGTGCACTGGCTGGACATAAGCTCCTTCCAGGTAAAGGAAGGTTTGTATCTGTTTGGGTTTTTTCCCCAAAAAAGCTTCAAGGACAACATATGAAATGCAATTAAAATGAAACAGCTACTCACCCAGTAATGGAGCCTTCCTCCAGTAGCCATCACGCACCTCCACATAGTCATACCAGCAAAGGCGACTTTTAAACAGGTCCATTGATGTGAAGTTTAACATAATCTGAAAGGAGAGAGTGAGAGCACACACTTCTTTGGGAAGGGAGCTACTTTAAAAAGAAGACCCTAGCAGTTATGTGCTTCACCTCTGCTACAGTGCTGCCTTAGTGAGTACGCAGGAAAAGCCAGTTGGACAGTTGGTTGGATTTTTCAATCAGTTTTCCTCAAAAAAGAAAGGCATCTCAAGCTATTTTAATGAAACCATGAAAGTACATGACAGCAGACAGCACTTTACTATCCATTCTGTAATTCACAGTCACTGCTCCTCAGTTACTAAAATACTACTAAAACAAGCCCAATTTGCAGTTGGTTTGTTTGTTGGTTTTTTGCTTGTTATTTTGGGGGGGGGGGTTAAATTTAAAATTAAATCCTTGGGTTTGATTAATGGGAATATCATAAAGAAACATATTGCCCCAAAATACAGCTGGTTTGGGGTCTATACCCTTATATAAATGACTCTTGTAAGAAAAAGCTAAATTTGCTGACAAGCTTCCACATTCTGATAATTACACTCACACCATCACCATGATGCAGTTGTGTTCAGTGGCTTTACCAAGCAGAGCTTAGCAAGAAAATTTTATCCCTTTGGTCTGCTTCCTTCGTAACAAGGATTACATAGCCTTTGCTCTGGGCCTATGGAAGTCACCAATAGGGATGTACTTGTGGCATTTTTGTCCTTGCAAGATTTGACCCACGTATTAATTCATATCTGCTACAGAAACATCATTAGATTAAAACAGTTATAGATACAACTCTTCTGAAGAGACTGAGAGACAAAGGGAGAATTTACAGTAAGATTTACACTGAAAAACTCCCAGTGTCATAGTTTCAAAACCTGGATGGTTCTCAGCACCTCTGTCCCTGGTGAAGCTCTCCCTGCAGCTAATGGTGGGTGCTCAGCACTGCATGGGACTGGGCTTGCAGGTGACAGAACTGGGTCCCAGAACCAGACAGCTGCTGCAAAATGAGCAAGCTCTGCTCTTCTTTGAGTCCAAGTCTTAAGTGTGTCTCGAGGGTGGTCCTCAGCAAAGCCGCTCTGTCGAGGAGCTCCCAAGCTGGGCTGCGCATTCCTGCAGCCTGGTACAGCATGAAAGGCCTGAAGGGCTGGTATTAGTGGATTAAGGAAAGATTTAATTTCCACAGGAAGATCAATAAAACAAAAGGAGCTGCAAAGAAAGCAGACAGGGTGGGTGACTGATGCGCAGCGGGGCTCAGCATTTCAAGGCAGGGAGCAGGAGTGCCCTGACAGGGATATTATGCCTGCATGACAGGGGCAGGCCGCTGGTGTCACTCATGGCTCCTCAGCTCCCTCCGGGACCCCAGCTTGCTGGCGCATTTTATGTAACTCGTCTGATTGGCACCTGGCTTTGAAAGGTAGCTCGGCCAGAGCATGTGGGTGGCAGGAAATGTCCACACAGAGTTCAGCCTCAAATAGAGAGGAAGGATCAGAGAGCAACATGCAGCCCAGACCTGTGAGGGGTCTCTGCTCCAGCATTACCTCTTCCTCCTCAGCACCATGTATTGCTGACCCCATCTCTGGGAGGACAGCAATGGTGCTCGGGAGCTTTTCCAGGCTCCATCCCTGCACTCCAGGCACGCAGAGATCTTTTGGCAGCTGCTAACACTGTCATCATGGGCAAAAAGACACGCAAGGGAAGCGCAGAGTCCACCTTGCGCTGGTGTGGCACCTACCTTCTCCCCTGGGGTCACCGAGATCCTCCAGACACAGTGGGAATAGGACGGGTAGCCATTTGGAAAGCCAGGGGCTGAGAAATTCCCTGTTGAGTCCTGCAAGGTCTCTCCACAAGCTGAGAGAGAGGGAGAAAAAAAAAACCAAACCACAAACCAGCAACAAGGAGTGACTCTCTGAATGACATCAGGGTCTATCAAAATGTTTGCACATGGCTGCTGCGTGCCTGTTGGTGGCTGGTACTCTAAGAATGTTCGTTCATGGTACTGACCCAAAGGTCATTGACCACCTGAGACCTTGCCAAAGGGTGGTATGAAATTTGTCAGAATTCCCAGGACAGATGATGATCAGTGCAAGGACACAGGGGAAACAGCTTTAAAAGAGGCATCCTTCTTCCTTCATCTTCCTTCCACATCCCAGTACTTTCAGATTTCAACCCTACCGAGGAATATCTCATCCACTCATGCAACATATTAACCCCACTTCACCGTGCAATTCCATGACAACTGACAGCAAATCTGTTTTCCCTTCATTACAAGCTGCTTGATGAAGTTCTCCTTACATACCATTAAGTGTCTTTTTTTAACAAAAGCAGGGCAAGCCCCACTGCCCTCATGCTTTGGCTGTCCAGCACCTATCCTGCCATCACACTGCACAGGATAAAACGTGAGCACTGCAGCTCACTTTGTTCTCCACCTTCACAGTTTTGTGGCCTGATGCAGTTGATGAAATGTAGTTCCTAGGGTGACTTTTGGAAAGCAAGTAATATGCAGACATATATGCTCCTTTAGGGAACCGCAGCTTCCAACATCTGGGAAAGCTGCGACTACTGTAGCTCCTCTCTCTGAGCCAGAAGAACTGAGCTAGAACAAGGAGTGACCATCTACATCTGCAGAGCAGCTGACTGGTCAGGTCAGAGGATCACAAATATCAAAGCTCCCATTTCTTTGAGTGCACAGTAGACACATGAAGATACCCGTCCCAAGGAGCAAGGACCTTGGTTTGCCTGCTTTCCAGTTCCTTCTTCTAGTTTCACAACCCACTGATTTTACAAAGCCACCCTTGACGTGCAACTTGGTTTCCTCAGCGATGGTAAAGCAGCTCCCAAAAATCCCTTGTTAAGCAGCAGTGCTTTGAAAGATCCGACAAGGCCAAACATCTGGCTCCCTTTCTCACGGAAATGCCAGGGGATGGTCCTCTGCCTGATGCTATCACACACTCACTAATTTTTCAGCCATGATGACATTTAGATGGGCAGGTTGGAAGTCAGAGGTGAAAAGAGACTGGTCCCATTCAAAAAGTTTAATATCTTCAAAAAGGGGAGAGGGAGTCACCTGTGCCAGAAATTCTTAATTTCCCTGACATAGTTTGACCCACAGCTTGACAGGTCAGACTAGACAAACAATAGGCAGGGACACAAAAAGGGGTTTTGCTCAACCGAACAGCTCCTAGGGGTGCTCTGGAAGGTGAAGTCACCACTAGGAACAATTTGCACATATTTCAAGGCACAAGTCAGCACGGGATCTGGCAAAGTGATTTCTGTCAGGAAAGACAAAGGCATTTTAAACTACTAGAAAAAAGCACCACTGACCAAAACAGGCAGTTAAATGCACACATCTGCCTCAAAGGAATGAAGAAAAGAGTCCAAAACCTCTACATTGCTCCTTCCTTCTCAAGCAGTTTTCAGCCCTGAGAACTGCCCCTACCACTATGCAACTATGAAGGAGCATTGCACAGAAAGTTTTACTTTCAATTCTGCAAAAATAGCTAATATTCTCCCACCTCTCCCAACATGTTTGGCAGGCGATGCTGTCTGTATTCTTCAGGTGGGCAGGGAGAGATGCTTGTAAAAGGTAACGACCTGTATGAACTAGAGAAGAAACCTGGACTTCTATTTGCAGAATAAATATACTTCCTTCCTTTCTACCTGTTGCAAAGATTCCTTGCCTTGTTATCTGTGTCAGAATCTGTTAGGATAATTCCAGCTCTCAGGATGCTCCTAGGACCCTCAACCAGGAAATGCATGCTGCCCCAGCAGATAAACTTCTCAAGGAAGCTGAGTCTCGGCCATATTTATTCTGAGGACAGCAAGCCATTCTTCAGCTGATCCTCCAGCATTACCACTGGTCTGGAGTCGCCACCACCTTAGGATGGCTCTAGAAATGGCAACATCTGATAAGGTGTCACAATAAAGAAGGGAGTCCAATACATAACTCACCAAGATACATAAATGTTCTTTTTCTCTGCTAAAAAAATCTATTTAAACAAATATGAAATGATGAAGAGAGCTCTAAGTCATTTGGAACACATACCACATGACCGTAATGACACAGGACAAAGAGGATTACTGCTCTCAGCTGAACCACAGTGAAGGTTTCTGACAGCCCAGGCTTAATTCTCTTAAGTGTAATTACACAGTACCTGGCAAGACTGTGTAATTATGGAACAGGTACTAACGTATCTACCACCAAACTCTACTCCGCTGAAACATCATGAAAGGAGACCTAGCTAACTATCCAACCCTTGCAGAGGAAAGTCTCCAGACATACTAGGAGAGGCTGGCCTTTCAGCACAAGCAAGCTGCTAGAAAGGAACGGAGGCAAAAAGCAAGGTAGAAAAGGTGAATGTTTCAGAAGTCATCTGTAAATTAAGTAGTTGAGTGGCAGGCACTTACTGCTTATCAGCTGGTTACTGGTACACTACACCTTTTGGAAGCTGCACAGAGAATTGGATGGGATGACATACAGCAGGACCATTCTCAATTTATAGTTTAACCATTTCTGCACAGTTAGCACAGCCACACAGGCCTGTTTCCTTTAGCACAGCTCAAGGCAGCAGGATGTGCTGGTTTAAAGTCTTTGGTAGTGACTATACTCATCAAATTCTCAACCATACAGCCATATCAAATCTAGCATTTACCACTATGCAGCAGAACGCATCTTGCCTTGTAGAAATTCTTTCAACAAATTTCATTTGGTTTCACCTGGTTTGGCACTAACTGTAACCCAGCAGGTATAAGCTTTGGGGAATTAAGAGCAATTTAAAACAGCAGGGTTTTAGAATGGAAAAGCTAAGCCAGCCCTAACTGTAGCAGCCACAAGAGCTCCAGTCTAATGAGTTGGAAAGCCCTGTTTCTTACAATAGACACAACAGTCATTCAGGCTTATACGGGTGCATGCTTGCAATTCATCTTCCACCACGCTAGCTCTTTTTTTGGGGGCATTTTCTCAGACGTTCTCAGGTGGATACTCTAAAAGTGAAACCATCTGCCATTCAACTTCTGCATTATATTGTTGTGTTTTACCTAAAAATCCTCAGCTTGATTACTGAACAAAGTTGTCCTCAACCCAAAGTCTCATTCAGACCCTGCTCAAACATGCAACTGAAGTCCCTTGGTTTTGAACTCCTGTAGTTTGCATTTTGCAGAAGAGAACTTTTCAAGCTACAGATTCAATAAATTTTCATGCAAATCAAAAGAAAAAAAAAAAAAAACAACAAATAGATATTTGAAGAAAATTTGTTTAGTAGGCTTAAAGCTCTGATCATTCTGCTGCCAGGTATTTTCTGAACTGCAATAACCTCTGCTAAAGCTTTGTGGGGAAAAAACCTAAAAAGTAGAAAAGTTCTACTTTGCAAATGGAAACTTGAGACTCAGAAGGGTCGTCATTTTAAGAAAGCTGCTTTGTAGCTTTTAGTTCGACTTTAACCTCAGGCCAAAGTGGCTTTTCATTTAGGGTTTCCTTAAGGCTCATCACTGGGACAACATCTGTATAAATAATCCAACAGAAGTTTGATGGTTGGTGTGCAGAGACCTTGGTCTACCAGATCCCTCTGCCATTTTGCTAACTCCTAGTCCCCTCTCTGTCCATGGTCTTATACATTGATTTCATCTTCTATGAACAGAGCCTACACCCTTCATTCTAGACAGTATATGTATATAAAAACACCAGCAAAATACAAGCCTCATCCTCGTCCCTCTTTCCCAGCCTCCTCTGCATCTCCTCTTACTAGTTTCAGTAGACAACACCAGACAAATCTGAAGCCCTAAACCAAACAGGAATACTGACAAAATACTAATGGGGAGGACATGTTAGGCAAGTTCAATTCTCTTACAGTTCCAGCTTGAAGCATTTGATGGTCTACATTTCCTGAATCTCCTTCATCAAAGGGATCACTAAGGTGCTTTTGAACCCTAACACCTCCTAGATAAACCATGTGTCTACAATAAAGCTGGAGCCATCTCCATAAGCCATATTTACCTGGGCATTTGTACAACTTCCTTGCCTGAGCGATGTCTCCCTGACTCAGGCGAATACGCTGACCAATAGTTGGCCGGACCCCATTATCATCACGACGGGGAAGGATGGTGTCGAGGAAAACCCCTCTAAAGGGAAGAACAGAGAGACAAAGAGCAGTGAAGTATGGAAAGTGACACGATGCACAGAAAGTCATCCCGGCAGGCCTCCCAGACCATCCCCATGACCATATAGCCCATGCTAACAAGCAATAGTAATGCAGATTGTGATAACCGCATGTCTTGAGGTGATGTCGTGGTTTAACCCCAGTCAGGAACTAAGCCCTACACAGCCGCTCGCTCACTCCTCCCAGTGGGATGGAGAGAGAATCAGAAGAGTAAAAGTGAAAAAACTTGTGGGCTGCGATACAGACAGTTTAACAGGTAAAGCAAAAGCTGCACACGCAGGCAAAGCAAAACCAGGAATTCATTCACCACTTCCCATTGACAGGCAGGTGGTTCAGCCATCTCCAGGAAAGCAGGGCTCCATCAGGTGCAATGGTTACTTGGGAAGACAAACGCCATCACTCCAAACATCCCCCTCTTCCTCCTTCTTTCCCCAGCTTTATATTCTGAGCATGATGTCATATGGTATGGAATGTCCCTTTGGTCAGTTGGGGTCAGCTGTCCCACTTGCATCCCCTCGTTACCTTTTACAAGTCATACATGACTTCTTGTACATCCCCAGCCTACTTGCAGGTGGGGTAGGGTGAGGGGCAGAAAAGGCCTTGACTCAGTGTAAGCACTGCTCAGCAGTAACAAAAACATCCCTCTGTTATTAACACTGTTTTCAGCACAGATACAAAACACAGCCCTATACTGGTTACTATAAGGAAATTAACTCTATCCCAGCCAGAACCAGCACAGCTGGCCGCCTTGCTATAGCAGATAGCTTCCAAATGTACAGGCAAGTCTGCCAATCCAGTAAATTCCTCTTTTGATATATCAAGATTGCTGCTGCCTCTGTTGGAGCATATACACGTTCCTTGCCATAAATTAGAAAAGGCAACGAAATATCCTTGCAGAAGGTTCAGGGCACATCTGGCTCAGCAGGAGCACAGATTGGGCACTTAAGCCAAAGGAGCAGAGGGAAGGGGAATTTGTTTAGCCACAGATGGGGTTGCGCTGGCAGTGACTGCGGTTGCCACAGAGAAGAGAAAAAGATCAAGCGCTCTACCTTTGTTCTGCATGAGTTTCCAAGCTAATAACTCCATTTCTCTCTGCCTCTTTTTCCTCGCTATTTCTTCCATGTGGTACTTCATATTCAGGAGCTCTCTACTGCACTTCTGATCTCAGTCCAGAAAAGGATTTAAGCTCACTTCCATGCAAATGCAAAGTCTGTGCATCCAAGCAAAAGCTTGCACGCAAGAGACACCCCAAGGCAGCATTAGGACTAAAGTGGGAGGGAGGAATCAGAAGCCTGAACTCCAGGTTGGTAAATCCAAGCTCTCACAGCCAGGCTGTCCAGTCCACAGAAACCATTTCACTGCAGCCCTGAATGTCTAAGAGTCTTGGAGGTGCCAAGGCTAACAGTGAGCTTGAAACTCAGCATCAGCTCTGGGAGGCAGACTTCTTTTTCTGAAGGACAGGACACAACTGTCCATGGAGTCTGATGGGAAATCAGGGCAGAAGCAATCATTTTAGTGCTGCCTAGCCCTGATACAAAAGTCTTCAAGTAAGGGTAAAGCTCTAAGTACACCAGTAATTCTGTTCATTGGGCTGCTCAGCTGCGTAAGACCCGTAAGGAAGGAGTTTGCGAGAGGGTTTTTTTGCATTGGTTAAATTTTAAATAAATACTGCAAGCAGAGTACTTGGATCACAGCTGTCCAGAGCTGCAGCCAATGTTCTTGAACAGAAAATATCATTCCATTAGACATTTTTTGGGGAAAAATTATGTTGCAAATACTCAAACTGAACGAAGGAATAGCGGAGAAGGAATTTAATCTGTTTTGAAAACTAGAATCAGCTCTTGCATGGGGGATGTTGGGGGTTTTTTTCAGTGGCAGGAAAATTCCTGATCAGCATTAAAATCAGTGCTTACAAGCTCTGAGGTGAGCCCATCAAATTTTGATTGACAAATTCAGGCTGGAATTCTACATGCCAGCTGCATGCCTCAAGCTAAATTTATTTGTGTATTGAAAATAAATCCTCCAATTCCAGAAATACCACAAACAGAGAAACAGGTTGGTTTGCTCACAGTAAGTTTTCAAGCCTCCTCAGGAGTTCACAGAAGAACTCAGCATTTGGCAGGGACTTCTGTGGCCAGTGAAATACTTTCTGCAGATCTCCAGGCTCATCCAGGGAAGAACGACAAAGTTTAATAGAAAAACCAACACTTGGACATTCCAACTTTTGATTCCCCATTCCAGCCCCCACGACTGCATACTCACAGCCCCCACGACTGCACATAGCATACACCTAGGGTAGTGCTCATGTAACACAGACAACCCACAGCTTCAAATTACCTTGTGATCCCTTATTACTCGCCAGACACGTTTTCTTCCAGAAGGCTGTACCCTAGGTTGGGCCAGTAAGATTTCTGGGTTTGCTTTTTCCACCAACTGAATTTTGTGCTTCCTTCACATGCATTGCTGAACATGACTCCAAATTAGGAGGCAGTAAGTACAGTTCCTCTCATTTTACAATCAAAGGAACTGAGAACAGTGGAGAGTCTTTCTGGCCTAAACCACACCCGTCCCAGCAGCCCCATGCTGTCCACCCAAAGCCCATCTGCTTATGATGTTAAGTTGCACGTTTGGTGAGCATCTCTAAGAGCACCAAAACTTTGGCTCACAAATTAATAAGCACTAAGCAGACATCATTAAACAGAGCAGCTCAGGTACTCTGACATCAAAACCGTTCCTCCCAGAGGTAGGAAAAGAACCCAGGAATCCTGGATGCTCCGTTCTCCCGCTGTCCAGGGACAGGCAGAGCGTGGATTAGCTGCCCAATGCAGTGGTAAGTCAAACACAACAACCCACCATTGCTACTAGCTAAGAACGACAAAAGTTTAAAGATAGATGCTCTCAAGAGTCATTAGCACCTGCATAGTGCCCTGAATGTGTAAAGTGTCAAGTAAACATTAGGAAATTATCAACTGATCTTGAGAAATGCTGAATATTCACCATCCCATCTGAGGGCAATAGATAGAGGTGCTTTAAACACCACTCAAGGAAGCAGATGTTCAAGGCAGGTTAAGCACTCAGCTGCAGGTAGCTACATTTCGTCCCAACTCTGTATTTATATCCCAAACTACAGAGGAGAGACAACATAACCCTACTTCACACAGTAAAACCTGTGGAGGATTTATCTTGTGCAGGATTAGGATGGTGTGTTGTCAATACATCAAGAAGATGCCCCTTGACATGCAGGCAGTACTACCTGAATCCTGATTCAAACAGGAGGCTTGCAGAGGTCACGTTTTGTAACTCCAGGCTGTGCTGCCACGTTCACTAGCAAGAGGCTTAGTGAATTAAGGTAACCCACTATTGCTTAGGGCTGCATGGAGGTTTAAGCTTTCTTATTGCTAAGCTGCCATTTATGCATCTTGACAGCAGTAAAAAAAAAAAAAAAAATTAAAAAAATTGTTTAATGAGACAACAATATTCAATTTAATTTGCTGCCATGTCTGTAAGGAATGTACCAGGAAATAAAAGCCTGCAGCCATACTCTGCAAAATAGGCAACTTTCTGACACAGACAAGAGCAGAAGTTCCCATGGTAAAAACTTGTTACTGCTGTCATTACAGCCTCTTGTGCCATGCTCCTATTCCTATTACCCACAGACACAAATGAGAAACGTGTTTCGCTGTGCACTGAAAATGAGCAGTGACTCCTGCAGCAACTTTCAAAAGCACCACTGGAAACAGTTTCCATTGCTAGGACTCATTGTGTCTCAGAAAAACTGCCCCTTTCTGTTCTAGGTACAAAGTTTAGAATAAAAAGGGCCTAGGATCTGCAGCAGCATTTGACCATGGCAAACGCTGTATGATTTGCTATTGTCAATGTTCACAGGAGACATAAAAAACAAGGTTGTGCTAAGTGCCACATAAGAGTTGCTTCAAGACAATGAGCCACAGGCACAGCTCTGAGTCCTTCACCTCCTTCTCACTCACACACCCCATCTCACTGGTAGGGTGCTCAGACCATCTTCTTCCTATGTGGACTTTCTGGTGCATGCTAACATACTAACACATCCACTACAGCTCTTCCCTTAGCAGCGTCACGCAGGGGCTATCTCCCGAGCTAGCCACGGATCTTAACGAAACTTGCTGGAACTTAGTACCTTCATGGGCTCTACTGCAGTTTTGGTTGCAATTGGCCAGCACCCGCAAACCTCAGTAGGGTGGGAAGGAGACATGCATACGCTCACAAATCTCTACTGACTGGCAAAGTAAGTGTCGTTCCCTTAGGGGAGCAGATGTCAAGACAGGTCTTGGTAAAGTAACAGCCTGTTCCCAGCACTGCCTATTTACGGTGAGAGCACAATCAGTCCACAGAGGCACTTAGTGCTCAGTTCAATTACTGCACAAAGGCTGCTGCTGGGGTGAGGGTGGGTCACAGAGACAAAGGGCTTAAAGAAAACAGACTTAAGAATCCTATTAAGCACCAATTTAAATTTAGAAGGACTCTTGCCATTTTTATCCCTTTTTGGCCCAGCAGTGTTCTGAAGGACCCTGGTTTTCAAGAGACACAGACTCAAAGGCATCCACAATATAAATGGTGGTAATAACTTAATCCTGCTTTTGTGCAAGACAATTCTAACCATTTAGAGTTTAGCAAATGCTGTAAGGGTCCAGCAGATGCATCAAGGGAAGAAAAATTGTTTGCTTTGGGTATCTGATCCAAAGAAATCTCTGAAGGTTGCAAAGCACCCTTGCCCAGCCACCATCTCCCCCTGCCAGAACAAGCAGCATTTCAGCAAGTTTGATAATTTTCCCCTGGTTGACGTGAAGTTTCAGAAACAAAAGCACAAAACAATAGGCTTGGCAATTCCATATAACTGGGGAGTGAGAAAATTAAAAGCGCCCCAAAGACACGTTTAATTTTTGCAACAAAAAGTTCTCAAGAGCATGAATATTTGCGTTCTGCCTCCCATTCCCTTTTCTCATGGTATGTAGTGAAGGAAAGCTCTTGGGAAGGAGCGGTAGTGGGATTTATGGAAAAAACTTCAAATAATGCAGCAAAACAGAGCTGGTCATCCACCAGCTCTCATTCCAAATCCAGGACATAAATAACTATGCTTATTTCATCTCTCTATCCAGTAGGGCTATCTGATCGCAAAATGGACTCCATCTGGAGGGATGAGATGGGAGTCAAGGGCAAACAGGCTACACAGAAATTGGCCAGTTAGCTGGGACAGGAACGGGACTGAAAACTTCTCCATGAAGAACCCAGTCACACAGACCTGCAGAGGCCATGATATAAAGCACATGCAAAAATGGTTAAAAAAATAGCCAAGCAATTAAAGATCATGATCTAGAGTTTAAAGTCTCTTTATCCCTTGGCAAAATTGCTAGGGATTCAGAAGGCAATATTGCGACTCCAAAGCACGAGCTGGACAGCTGAGAAATTCAAAGGTGTTTTTAGCATTACCTCCTTGAAGTTGGGGAGATACATACACACATACATACGTGCCCTATGGAAAGGTTGCAAAATGTGCTAACATGGCTTGGGAAGGTCTCTGAGATTATCAGCACTGGGTGAAGATAATGGGAAGGGGAAAACGGGACTCCATCATACTTCTCTTCACCCACCTTCCTTTCTCAAATACTTTTCAAGCTTTGCAATGCAGCAAAGCTCACTGCAACTGCACATATCTCTGCAATAGATCACAGGTCTCCTTCTAGGCTCCATGTATCCCACAAAGCTAATCACAACTACTGAAAATAGTCCCAAGGACATGTAAACTTAGCTTATCACCTGGAGAATGTGTTCCTAGCATAGTGCATGATGCTGTCAAAGTCATAGGTCTCTCCCAGCGAGTTCACTTCCCCAGCTTCCATCTTTAAAAAGTTGTACTCCTGACCTGTGATGCCAAACACAAAGGGAAAAAACTGAATCACTTAAGAAAAAAAAAAAAGAATAAAAAAGCCCCCACCTTTGGGCACCTAGAATGAAAGGAATATACTCCTACATTCTAACAATTCCAGCTGGGTATCCAAAACCTCTATTCACCCAACCATTTTGACCCTTATTCTAGGCAAGGACTAGTAATGTTTCTTCTTCTCCATCCCAACTCACAGACCACTAGGATTTTCCACAAGTCCAGCAAGAAAGGTTTCCACCCACCCAAAAGCCAAGTGGAATAACCTGAAGTGCTATTTCACCTTGCTGTATGTTCTCTCTGATGATTGTGACATGCTGGTCCCTGTCAGGCCGTGTGTGTTCATGCCAGAAACCCACCACATGACCCAGCTCATGAGCCACAATACCAAACTTGTCACAGTTCTTCCCAATAGATATAGCCTGAGGGCCTCCTCCTCGGCGACCCACATATGAGCAGCATCTGGAAAAGAAAACCCACAAACCCATGCAGCACATCAATCTGTTGGGGAAGCCTGAGACATAGCAACAGAAGATGGCATTTGGCAAGGTCCAGGACTGGCCAGCAGTTGCATACACTATATGTACTTAACGTGCGTGCGTGTGTACATATAAAGAAAACACATAAGTGCGTGTCTATAAAAATGCATATATACACTTAAGTGTTATCCCAGGAAAAAGAATCCAGAAAGGCTTATCACCTTCTGAGCAAATACTAAATTATCCTGACAAACCTTACAGGGAGTAAGAACAGATCTCTGTGACAGATTCCCCAATGTAGCCTTTGGTTTATTCTGACCAGAGCTAGACTTACAAAAACATCTATCAACGAAAGGGACGTTTGCGACAGGTAGCTGCAGGTAATGTGTGTATCACTTACCCGCATGTTCTATACGTGAACACAATGAAACTCTCTTCATCAGTTCTCTCCACAAATGTTACACAAGTATGCTTCTCCCAGTGCCTCATCGCTTGCTTAAAGATAGCTCTTTGGGTTCCTGAAAAAGAAATCCAAAAAGAGCAAATAGTGAAGGCCAGGCTTTCAGAAAAATCTCTGATGGAGTTCATCTGGAAAAGGGAACAGTCAATCTTTCCCAACAGTCAATCTTATACTTGTAGACACCTCTAGGAATCTGGGACCCACTTCCTACTATAGCACTAACCTACTGTATCATACTTTTCTCTCCTTCTATTTGATGAACTAATTGTTCTAATTAAACAGGTAGCAAACTTGGTTAAGCACATCAACACTTCTGCATATAAGATGTGTCACCTCACTAGGTAGAAGTCATTCTGGCAGAGCTGCTGGGTGTTCTGATCTGTGCACCAGCTACTCGATGGTGTGCCAAATTTGCTCTCATGCTGCAATATAACATGATCACACACAGCTTTCAACCTCACAAATCCTACAGATGCTCCTCAAAACTAAGGCAAAACTGCCACTAGGTATTCAAAATTAGAAACAAAAACTATATAGGAGCTAGAGGCAGTCACAGGGCAGTGTAAGAAGGTATAGAGATACACTGCTGCTCTGTGCTTGAACTGAGGCACAGCTCAGGACTTGCACAGAGACACACCTGAGAGGTCAGGTATTATACCTGTTGCACACTAGCAAGAAGACAGCCCACAGGACCTTCCCTCCCCAGGGAGCAGCATACCTCCAGTGATCACTCAGCAGCATCCAGCACAGTCACACAGACAGCTGGGAAGCGATGCCCGAGAGCAGCACGTGGCCAGGAGCCTCCCTGCACGGCCTTTCCAGCATAGCCTCTGCACAGAGCAAGCGGCCGCTCTCAAGAGGGGCTGGAGAGCGGGGAAAGGCCAGAAGTACATCAGAAATGCACAAGGAATACAGACAGGAGCTCTAGGGTGGGATTAAGCTGAAGCAAAACACCAAGCTGAACGCACGACAGAATTGTACTATGGCGAGAGCTGCTTCTTACACACTCACCGACATGGAAGGACGGTGTTACCTACTCTGGACTGGTTAGGGCAGTAGGACACACATAACACAGAGAAGACTTTCTCATCAGACCCTGAGGGATGGGGATAGCTGTTCTCTGGGAAATGCAGGGGGACAGCTGTGGCTTGCAGGCTACTCAATATCCTGCCAGCTTGCATGAGCCCTTCCTTTTGTAAGAGGTGAACAGACCCTTCCACTGGGGCTTCACAGACTTCTGGCAGCAGTGCGGGTGCCAGTATGAGACAGGTCTGGGTAGCATGTTAAAGAGGCCTCAAGGATCACCCCAAACTAGCAGGAGGGGCATGACTGGGGAGGCAAACCCACATTGTACAGGAGTGGTTCCCAAACAGCCCTTTGCTGCTGGGACAAAAGTACATTACAGGAGCTCAAGGGAATAAGTTCTGCTGGATCTAAGTGGCAACCTGGGAGACACAGGAAGGAGCTGGCTCCAGTGAGGCACAGAGCATTTGTTATCAAATCAAGGAAACCAATTTGTCTTGATTTGTCATCAAGTCAAGGAAACCAATCCCATGGGGAACCACTGAGCTACAGAGAGGTGGCATCAGAGCAAGCTGTCTGTCTGCTTTGCATGAGGGACTTATCTGCTGCACCCCAAGAGACATCTTAGTTTGGACAGTGCCCCAGAGATGCTATAAAGATCCTGAAAAGGATACTCTGGAGAGATCCTCATCCACCATGGGACTCAGCTCACTGTTCCTCTCCCTCACACAACTAGAGGAAACCCTGAAGTTTGGTGCCCAGAAAACAGCAGGTCAGGAAGCAGAGTGCACAGGGAAAATTGTCTGAGTGAGGAATTCAGAAAGCAACCCACTGTATTGCTCCTGCTCTTCCAACAGCAGAGAGGATCTCTTTGTGGAAAAACAGGGTATGAGTGCAGCTTAGAAGTGCTGGCTCCTGAAGCAAGTAAGAAAAGTGACCAAGTCACCCAATTACTTCTTGGACTCCAAGAGAAGAACCATCTCATTTCACACTTCAGTCTCAGGCTTCCACAGCGCACAATTACTTGTGCAACCACATGCCCACCCTGCCTCAGGAGAGAGGTTCCCAAGGACCCGAGTCATTTGTGGGAAAACTCTGCTCCCGTGATCTCCCACGCATTTTGAGACACTCACCCCTGAGAAAACAGGGAGCAACGTTTTCACTACTGACCAGTGAAGTTTCCTCCGATCACATAGGGGATGACCCCCCCTGGCCAGATCCTCTCAGCTCTGGATGTGGTTGCCCTGCGCACTCTGGGGGAGGAGTGTGTATCCATCCCAGACTCATTTTTATACTCCTTCCTCTTCGGTCTCCTTGCAAGCGTTGTGTTCTGCCCGACGTCTGCAAGACAGAGTGGCAACACTGTTTAAATCCTCTTTAGTTCCACATGCAGCCCTCAGGTAATACCTTGGAGCTTCAGAAAAACAGAAAAAACAAGATGTTAATCCAAACCAGAAGCCATAGTCAGATTTCCCAGTGATTTGTTTGGGACTTAGAGACAGTTGATCTGTAGTAACCAGGCCCTTCTGTCTTGGAGCCTCCCTATGTACTATGCCAAACCTATTCTCCCAGAAAAG